CAACACCACCACCATCACCAACACCACCACAACCACCAACACCACCACCACCACAACCACCATCACAACCACCATCACAACCATCACCACCATCACCACCATCACCACCATCACCACCAACACCACCATCACGACCACCACCACCATCACCACCATCACCACCAACACCATCACCACAACCACCACCACCATCACCACCACCACCATCACCACCAACACCATCATCACGACCACCACCATCACCACCACCACAACCACCATCACCACCACCACAACCACCAACACCACCACCATCACCACCAACACCACCACAACCACCATCACCACCACCATCACCACCAACACCACCAAAAACACCAACACCACCATCACCACCACCACGACCACCACCATCACCACCAACACCACCAACACCACCATCAAAACCACCAACACCATCACCACCACCATCACCACCAACACCACCACAACCACCATCACCACCACCATCACCACCAACACCACAACCACCAACACCATCACCACCAACACAACCATCACAACCACCACCATCACCACCACCATCACCACCAACACCACAACCACCATCACCTCCAACACCACCAAAACCACAACCACCATCACCACCAACACCACCAACACCACCAACACCACAACCACCACCACCAACACCACAACCGCCATCACCACCAACACCACCAACACCACAACCACCATCACCACCAACACCACCATCACCACCACCATCACCACCACCAACACCACAACCACCACGACCACCAACACCACCACCATCACCACCACCACCAACACCACCGCCATCACCACCACCACGACCACCACCATCACCACAAACACCACCATCACAACCACCATCACCACCACCACGACCACCAACACCACTATCACAACCACCAACACCACCATCACCACCATCACCACCAACACCACCAACACCACCACAACCACCAACACCACCACCATCACCACCATCACCACCAACACCACCACGACCACCACCATCACCACCAACACCACCACAACCACAACAACCAACACCACCATCATCACCAACACCACCACAACCACCAACACCACCACCATCACCACCAACACCACAACCACCAACACCACCCTCACCACCAACACCACCATCACAGCCACGACCACCACCATCACCACCAACACCACAACCACCATCACCACCAACACCACCATCACAACCACCATCATCACCATCACCACCACCAACACCACCATCACCACCACCATCACCACCATCACCACCACCACGACCACCACCATCACCACGAACACCACAACCACCAACACCACCACGACCACCACCATCACCACCATCACCACCAACACCACCATCACCATCACCACCAACACCACCATCACCACCATCATCACCACAACCATCAACACCACCATCACCACCATCACTACCACGACCACCACCATCACCACCAACACCACAACCACCAACACCACCAACACCACAACCACCAACACCACCAACACCACAACCACCAACACCACCACGACCACCACCATCACCACCAACACCACCAACACCACCATCAAAACCACCAACACCATCACCACCACCATCACCACCAACACCACCACAACCACCATCACCACCACCATCACCACCACCACCAACACCACAACCACCAACACCATCACCACCAACACAACCATCACAACCACCACCATCACCACCACCATCACCACCACCATCACCACCAACACCACAACCACCATCACCTCCAACACCACCAAAACCACAACCACCATCACCACCAACACCACCAACACCACCAACACCACAACCACCACCAACACCACAACCGCCATCACCACCAACACCACCAACACCACAACCACCATCACCACCAACACCACCATCACCACCACCATCACCACCACCAACACCACAACCACCACGACCACCACCACCAACACCACCACCATCACCACCACCACCAACACCACCGCCATCACCACCACCACAACCACCAACACCACCACCATCACCACCACCACCACCACCACCACAGCCACCAACACCACCATCACCACCACAACCACCAACACCACCAACACCACAACCACCAACACCATCACCACCACCATCACCACCAACACCACCACAACCACCAGCACCACCATCACCACCACCACCAACACCACCATCACCACCAACACCACCATCACCAACAACAACCGCCATTCGCCACTAAGTGGCGGTGACGTCACCACGACGCTTGTGCCAGGCTATGTGCACCCTGAGGCCACGTGAAGTGTCGAACGCCCGCTGGCAGGAGGTCACGGGGCAGACCCAGGTGCCACGGGTCGACTGACTGAGATGACTGGCTGATGCACCACCTGTGCCCCCTACTGTGCCAATCTGCTGTGCTTTAGCCACCCGGCGCTCCGCTCGTTGTTCTGAGCGTCGCTCCTCCGCCCTCCGTTGTTGTTGGAGGGCGACTAGCTCCAACTGCCCAGTAGCGTCCTTCACGAGCCTCCTCCACAGAGGCCGATCTTGACACCGCTGGTACCAGTCATCGGCAAGTCCACTCAGCTCCACGTACGTCCTCCTGTACCACATCACTCCATCTCTTCTCTAGCCCGTGCCGCGCCCGCCTAGCCCCTTCAATCCGGCCGAACAAAAGCTGTTTCGGAATGCGGTGGCTGGGTATGCGGGCTACATGACCCAGCCATCGCAGCCTTCCCCGCCAGAGGAGCTCAACGATGGGACCTTGCCCAGATCTTTCAAGGATTTGTGAGCTCCTCACACAATCCAGTCTGGTTAAACCCAGGATGGATCGTAGGCAGGCCAGCCTAAATGTTTCTAACCGGCGAAGATGTTCCATTAGGGGGGTCCACGTTTCGCAAGCGTAGAGAAGGGAGGGAATGACCGTGGCCGAGAAGACCTGAAGCTTAGTGCGGAGCGACAAACCAGGTAGCTTCCACACAGCGTTACGCAACCGATGAAAAGATATTGCCGCCTCGACTGATTCGGAGTGAGACCTCTGCTGTTAAACTGGAGCTGGTCATAAACACACTGCCCAGGTATGGGAAACTCTCCACTCTCTCCACAACTGCCCCATCACTGATTGGAAGTTGTGGGGGTGGAGTGTCCGATGGTACAAAATACCCAGGCAGGTGCTTAGTTTTGGTGGGGCTGATGGTAAGGCCCCACCTCTTAGTGGCACGCTCCAGTCTCAACAGCAGCGTCTCCAACTCCTCCTCTGAATGAGCAGCTATTACCAAATCATCAGCATACATAACGTGGTTGAGCAATAGGGAGCCATCCCTTGACCGCACCCGGGCGTCGATCAGCCTCCCATTATATCTGTACCATATGGAGATTCCCCCGGTACAGCTATTGAAGGCTTCACGAACTACGTGGTCAAAATAGATGTTAAATAATGTGGGAGCCAGAGGACATCCCTGTCGCACCCCAAGGTTAACAGGGAATGGCTCTGACTCCCGGCCACGTAGTTTTACCCGGGCCCGCTCACCATCATGAAGGTCCTTAATGATCGTGAGCAGATGGTCAGGTACTCCAAAAGCACGAAGAACAACCCAGAGCCCAGGCCTACTGATGGTATCATAGGCCTTTACCAGGTCAATAAAGCAGAGATGTAGGTCTTGTTGGAATTCCCTACACCTCTGCTGTAGCAGACGGACAGAAAATATGGCATCTGTGCAGGACCGCCCTTTCCTGAAACCGCATTGGGGCTCCGCAAGCCTCTCCTCAGCGTGCCTGGCAAGGCGATGTTGAATAATCCTTGCCAGGACCTTTCTTGGCACACTGAGGAGGGAGATGCCCCTGTAGTTGTTACAGTCTGTGCGGTCCCCCTTCTTAAAAAAAAGAAGGGGGACCACCAGGGCATCCTTCCAATCCTGCGGAACCCGTCCAGTGGTCCAGACTGTTGTTATGATGTCATATAGGGCAGTCTGTGCACAAACGACGCCCTCCCTCAGCATTTCGCTTGGGAGATCATCTCTGCCCGCTGCCTTTCCTGGTCTCAGACTCCGGGTCGCCTTCAGTACTTCCTCAACAGATGGCACCTCAGCCAGCCACTCACAGGGGGTGACTTCTTCCAATATTTGAGGCACCGCAGCCTCAGCAGGGTCATCCTCACTTTGTGCCACGATGTTTTCCTGGCTGAGGGATTTTCGCTCCCCCAGGACCTCACAGAAATGCTCAGCAAATCCGCAAACCTGTTCCTGGGGGTCGGACCTGTTCCTGGGGGTCGGAGAGACAGAGGGAGGGATGATGGTGGTGATGGTGGTGGTGATGGTGGTGGTGATGGGATGAGTGAACCCCGCTCTCCGACTCGTGTACTCTGGAGGGGTGTTTGTAGGACGCGGTACACGTCTGCCTGTCTGTCTGTCTGTCTGCCTGTCTGTCTGTCAGTATCTCTGTCTGTCTGTCTTTGTTGCCTGTCTGTGTCTGTGTGTGTCTGTGTGTTCGTGGAGGAGGCTCGTGAAGGACGCTGCTACTGCGCAATAGGGAGGCAGTCGCCCTCCAACAACAACGGAGGGCAGAGGAGCGACCCTCACAACAACGAGCGGAGCGCCGGGCAGCTAAAATGCAGCAAGTTGGCACAGTAGGGGGCACAGGTGGCCCATCAGCCATTCATCTCAGTCAGTCGACCCGTGGCACCTGGGTCTGCCCGTGACCTCGACACTTCACGTGGCCTCGCAGTGCACACAGCCTGGCACAGGTGCCGTGGTGATGGCACCGCCACACAGAGAGGGAGGGAGATGGAACAGAGAGGGGGCGGAGAGGGGTGAGGGTGGGGGTTGTTGATCGAGAGTAAGAGATACAACAAGGATGGGGGGAGAGGGAGGAGGCGTGAGAGTCGAGAGTGAAGGGAGAGAGGCAGGGAGAGCTGCAGGGAGAGCCTCACCCCCCCCCCACTCTACACCCCCCCACACTCTACACCCCCCCACACTCTACACCCCCCCCCGCCTCTCTCTGTGTCCTCTCCCCCTCTCCCCGCGCCGTGTCGCGCACTGTGCGTGCGACTCAGCGTCACGTCCCGCGCGGAGACGGAGCGAGCCACCTCCTCCTTCCTCCTCCTCTTCCTCCTCCTCCTCTTCCTAACCGGGCAGGACCCGCGTCTCACTCCCGTGTCTGTCTGACTGTCTTTGTACGAACGGTACACACCCGCCTGCCAGACAGTCTGTGTGTGTCTCTCTCTCCGTGTGTGTGTCTCTGTCCGTGTGTGTCTCTCCGTGTGTCTCTCTCTCCGTGTGTCTCTCTCCGTGTGTGTCTCTGTCCGTGTGTGTGTCTCTCTCCGTGTGTCTCTCTCTCCGTGTCTCTCTCTCTGTGTGTCTCTATCTCCGTGTGTCTCTCTCTCTCTCCGTGTGTGTGTCTCTGTCCGTGTGTGTCTCTCTCTCCGTGTCTCTCTCTCTGTGTGTGTCTCTCTGTCCGTGTGTGTGTCTCTCTCCGTGTGTCTCTCTCCGTGTGTGTGTCTCTGTCCGTGTGTGTGTCTCTCTCCGTGTGTCTCTCTCTCCGTGTCTCTCTCTCCGTGTGTCTCTATCTCCGTGTGTCTCTCTCCGTGTGTCTCTCTCTCTCTCTCCGTGTCTCTCTCTCCGTGTGTCTCTTTCTCTCCGTGTGTGTCTCTCTCCGTGTGTCTCTCTCTCCGTGTCTCTCTCTCCGTGTGTCTCTCTCTCCGTGTGTCTCTCTCCGTGTGTCTCTCTCTCCGTGTCTCTCTCTCCGTGTGTCTCTCTCTCCGTGTCTCTCTCTCCGTGTGTCTCTTTCTCTCCGTGTGTCTCTCTCTCCGTGTGTCTCTCTCTCCGTGTGTCTCTCTCTCCGTGTCTCTCTCTCTCCGTGTGTCTCTCTGTCCGTGTCTGTTCACCCGTCTGCTGGGGTTGTGTCGCTACGTGCCAACTGCTGTGCCCGTCTCGGTGTTTGTGCGCTGACCTGTCCGTCCGTCCGTCGAACTCTCCTCTCTCTCTGTGTGTGTGATGACTTCAGGTTGTGCCGTCTGGTATGACTACAGCCTGCCTGCAAGCTCGTCAGCCTCGTCACTTACCTGACGCCTTGGCTATCTACCTGTCTGCCTGTCTATCCATATGTCTGTCTGACTGTCTATCCATCTACCTGTCTGTCTGACTGTCTATCCATCTACCTGTCTGTCTATCCATCTACCTGTCTGTCTGCCTGTCTGTCTGCCTGTCTGTCTGCCTGTCTATCCATCTGCCTGTCTGTTTGCCTGTCTGTCTGCCTGTCTGTCTACCTGTCTATCCATCTAGCTGTCTGTCTATCCATCTACCTGTCTGTCTATCCATCTACCTGTCTGTCTGCCTGTCCGTCTGCCTGTCTATCCATCTACCTGTCTGTCTGCCTGTCTGTCTGTCTATCCATCAACCTGTCTGTCTGTCTATCCATCTACCTGTCTGTTTGCCTGTCTGTCTGACTGTCTATCCATCTACCTGTCTGTCTGTCTATTCATCTACCTGTCTGTCTGCCTGTCTGTCTGCCTGTCTGTCTGTCTATCCATCTACCTGTCTGTCTGCCTGTCTGTCCATCTACCTGTCTGTCTGACTGCATGACTGTCTATCCATCTACCTGTCTGACTGTCTGTCTACCTGTCTGTCTGCCTGTCCGTCTGCCTGTCTATCCATCTACCTGTCTGTCTGCCTGTCTGTCTGTCTATCCATCTACCTGTCTGTCTGTCTATCCATCTACCTGTCTGTCTGCCTGTCTGTCTGACTGTCTATCCATCTACCTGTCTGTCTATTCATCTACCTGTCTGCCTGTCTGTCTGTCTATCCATCTACCTGTTTGTCTGCCTGTCTGTCTGTCTATCCATCTAGCTTTCTGTCGGTCTATCCATCTGCCTGTCTGTCTGCCTGTCTGTCCATCTACCTGTCTGTCTGCCTGTCTGTCCATCTACCTGTCTGTCTGACTGTATGACTGTCTATCCATCTACCTGTCTGACTGTCTGTCTATCCATCTAACTGTCTGTCTGTCTGACTGTCTATCCATCTCCCTGTCTGTCTGACTGGCTATCCATCTGCCTGTCTGTCTGCCTGTCTATCCATCTACCTGTCTGTCTATCCATCTACCTGTCTGTCTGCCTGTCTGTCCATCTACCTGTCTGTCTGACTGTCTGACTGTTTATCCATCTACCTGTCTGTCTGCCTGTCTGTCTGACTTTCTATCCATCTACCTGTCTGTCTGTCTATCCATCTGTCTGTTTGTCTGTCTATCCATCTACCTGTCTGGTTGCCTGTCTGTCTGCCTGTCTGTCTGACTGTCTATCCGCCCACCTGCGTGCCCCTAACCCTCACCCTGACTCCGACTTCTGCAGCCATGAGCTCTGGCGGTCATCTGCCCAAGAAGGACAAAGCTGCCCTCGCTGAGTATGCAGCGCAGGTGAAAGGTGAGTCACTCACTCACCCTGACTCAGTCACGCTGAGTCACTCATCCTGAGTCACTCTGAGTCACTCACCCTGACTCACTCACCCTTAAGTCACTCACTCACCCTGACTCAGTCACTCTGAGTCACTCATCCTGAGTTACTCACCCTGACTCACTCACCCTTAAGTCACTCACTCACCCTGACTCAGTCACTCTGAGTCACTCATCCTGAGTCACTCACCCTGACTCAGTCACTCTGAGTCACTCATCCTGAGTCACTCACCCTGACTCAGTCACTCTGAGTCACTCATCCTGAGTCACTCACCCTGACTCACCCTTAAGTCACTCACTCACTCACCCTGACTCAGTCACTCTGAGTCACTCATCCTGAGTCACTCACCCTGACTCAGTCACTCTGAGTCACTCATCCTGAGTCACTCACCCTGACTCAGTCACTCTGAGTCACTCATCCTGAGTCACTCACCCTGACTCAGTCACTCTAAGTCACTCATCCTGAGTCACTCACTCACCCTGACTCAGTCACTCTGAGTCGCTCACCCTGAGTCATTCACCCCCACTCACTCACTCACTCACCCTGACTCACTCATGCTGACTCACTCATGCTGACTCACCCACACTCACCCTGACTCACTCATGCTGATTCACTCATGCTGACTCACCCACACTCACCCTGACTCACTCACCTTGACTCACTCATGCTGACTCACCCAGACTCACTCACTCACTCACCCTGACTCACTCACCTTTTCTCACTCACATTGACTCACCCACACTCACTCACTCACTCACCCTGACTCACTCACCTTGACTCATCATGCTGACTCACCCACACTCACTCACTCACTCACCCTGACTCACTCACCTTGACTCACTCATGCTGACTCACCCACACTCACTCGCCCTGACTCACTCACTCACCTTGACTCACTCACTCACGTTGACTCACTCACACTCACTCACTCGCCCACACTCACTCACTCACTCACCCACACTCACTCACTCACTCACCTTGACTCACTCACTCGCTCACACTCACTCACCTTGACTCACTCACTCACTCACCCTGACTCACCCACACTCACTCACTCACTCACCCACACTCACTCACTCACCTTGACTCACTCCCTTGACTCACTCACTCACTCACCCACACTCACTCACTCACTCACCTTGACTCACTCACTCACCCTGACTCACCCACACTCACTCACCCTGACTCACCCACACTCACTCACTCACCTTGACTCACTCACTCGCCCACACTCACTCACCTTGACTCACTCACTCACCCACACTCACTCACTCACCCTGACTCACCCACACTCACTCACTCACCTTGACTCACTCACTCACCCACACTCACTCACTGACCCTGATCACACACACTCACTCACCCTGACTCACGCACACTCACTCACTCACCTTGACTCACTCACTCACCTTGACTCACTCACTCACCTTGACTCACTCACTCACCCTGACTCACCCACACTCACTCACTCACCTTGACTCACTCACTCACTCACCCACATTCACTCACTCACTCACCTTGACTCACTCACTCACTCGCCCACACTCACTCACTCACTCACCTTGACTCACTCACTCACCTTGACTCACTCACTCACCCTCATTCACTCACTCACCTTGACTCACTCACTCACCCACACTCACTCACTCACCCTGACTCACCCACACTCACTCACTCACCTTGACTCACTCACTCACTCGCCCCGAGTTGAGCCCCGTGACTGCGAGCTCCGTGAGCCACTCACAGCCGCAAGCCGCAAGCCGCAGTCCGTGACACGTGTTGCGGTCTTGTGACGTTCCTATGACGGGTCCCAGTCTGTCCACCGACACAACCGGTGTTGTCGTCCTTTTTTGTCTCATTCAACAAAGTGTTACTCACTTTATCCACCCAGGAAGGGAGGGAGCGATTATGGGTTCTGGGGGTAGACGGGAACATCTTTGGACCTGAACCGGCGCTGATGTCTTTGAGATGGGGCACCGCGGTGGCTATGAGATGTTAACTACCTCGCCTGGTATACAGGAGGTCGTGGGTTCGATCCAGACCCTGACACCTGCTATATATTTGGAGTTTACGTGTCTCTCTCTCTCATCATCATCACAATGGCTATGATATGTTAACTATCTCGCCTGGTATACAGGAGGTCGTGGGTTCGATCCAGACCCTGACACCTGCTGTATATTTGGAGTTTACGTGTCTCTCTCTCTCATCATCATCACAATGGCTATGAGATGTTACCTACCTCGCCTGGTATACAGGAGGTCGTGGGTTCGATCCAGACCCTGACACCTGCTGTATATTTGGAGTTTACGTGTCTCTCTCTCTCATCATCATCACAATGGCTATGAGATGTTAACTACCTCGCCTGGTATACAGGAGGTCGTGGGTTCGATCCAGACCCTGACGCCTGCTGAATATTTGGAGTTTGCGTGTCCCTCTCTCTCTCTCTCATCATCATCACAATGGCTATGAGATGTTAACTACCTCGCCTGGTATATAGGAGGTCGTGGGTTCGACCTCGACCCTGATGCCTGCTATGTATTCGGAGTGTGCGTGTCTCTCTCTCCCGGTGGTCGCTTGGATTTATTCCTCTACAACATTTGGAATCATTGTCATGCGTTTAGAGTATGTGGCTGCTGCCCTACATGTCCACGTGATGATGATGACGTCAGCTGTGAAAGCCAGGGGGTCGCTTCTGACAAAAGAGATACACAGCTCAGTGGGGGCCATCTCGCAAAATAATAAAAATAGTTTATATACCTAGTAAAATAATAAAAATAGTTTATATACCTAGCAAAATAATAACAATAGTTTATATACCTAGTAAAATAATAAAAATAGTTTATATACCTAGCAAAATAATAACAATAGTTTATATACCTAGTAAAATAACACAAATAGTTTATATACCTAGCAAAATAACACAAATAGTTTATATATCTCGCAAAATAATAAAAATAGTTTACATACCTAGTAAAATAATAACAATAGTTTATATACCTAGTAAAATAACACAGTTTATAAACCTAGTAAAATAACACAAATAGTTTATATACCTAGTAAAATAAGAACAATAGTTTATGTACCTAGTAAAATAATAACAATAGTTTATATACCTAGTAAAATAACACAAATAGTTTATATACCTAGTAAAATAACACAAATAGTTTATATACCTAGTAAAATAACACAAATAGTTTATATACCTAGTAAAATAACACAAATAGTTTATATACCTAGTAAAATAATGAAAATAATTTATATACCTAGTAAAATAATAACAATCGTTTATATACCTAGTAAATAATAACAATAGTTTAAATACCTAGAAAAATAATAAAAAATAGTTTATATACCTAGCAAAATAATAACAATAGTTTATATACCTAGTAAAATAATAACAATAGTTTATATACCTAGTAAAATAACACAAATAGTTTATATACCTAGTAAAATAACACATATACCTAGCAAAATAACACAAATAGTTTATATACCTAGTAAAATAACACAAATAGTTTATATACCTAGTAAAATAATAACAATAGTTTATTTACCTAGTAAAATAATAACAATAGTTTATATACCTAGTAAAATAATAACAATAGTTTATATACCTAGTAAAATAACACAAATAGTTTATATACCTAGTAAAATAATTAAAATAGTTTATATACCTAGTAAAATAACACAAATAGTTTGTATACCTAGTAAAATAACACAAATAGTTTATATACCTAGTAAAATAATACAAATAGTATATATGCCTAGTAAAATAATAGCAATAGTTTATATACCTAGTAAAATAACACAAATAGTTTATATAACTAGTAAAATAATAACAATAGTTTATTTACCTAGTAAAATAACACAAATAGTTTATATACCTAGTAAAATAACACAAATAGTTTATATACCTAGTAAAATAATAACAATAGTTTATTTACCTAGTAAAATAACACAAATAGTTTATATACCTAGTAAAATAACACAAATAGTTTATATACCTAGCAAAATAACCAAATAGTTTATATACCTAGTAAAATAACACAAATAGTTTATATACCTTGTAAAATAACACAAATAGTTCATTTACCTAGTAAAATAATAACAATAGTTTATATACCTAGTAAAATAACACAAATAGTTTATATACCTAGTAAAATAACACAAATAGTTTATATACCTAGCAAAATAACCAAATAGTTTATATACCTAGTAAAATAACACAAATAGTTTATATACCTTGTAAAATAACACAAATAGTTCATTTACCTAGTAAAATAATAACAATAGTTTATATACCTTGTAAAATAACACAAATAGTTTATATACCTAGTAAAATAACACAAATAGTTTATATACCTAGTAAAATAACACAAATAGTTTATATACCTAGTAAAATAAAAAAAAATAGTTTATATACCTAGTAAAATAACACAAATAGTTTATATACCTAGTAAAATAACACAAATAGTTTATATACCTTGTAAAATAACACAAATAGTTTATATACCTAGTAAAATAACACAAATAGTTTATATACCTAGTAAAATAACACAAATAGTTTATATACCTAGTAAAATAACACATATAGTTTTTATACCTAGTAAAATAACCAAATAGTTTATATACCTAGTAAAATAACACAAATAGTTTATATACCTAGTAAAATAATAAAAATAGTTTATATACCTAGTAAAATAACACAAATAGTTTATATACCTAGTAAAATAACACAAATAGTTTATATACCTAGTAAAATAACACAAATAGTTTATTTACCTTGTAAAATAACACAAATAGTTTATATACCTAGTAAAATAACACAAATAGTTATATACCTAGTAAAATAACACAAATAGTTTATATACCTAGTAAAATAATAAAAGTTTATATACCTAGTGAAATAACACAAATAGTCTATATACCTAGTAAAATAACACAAATAGTTTATATACCTAGTAAAATAA